TCGATGTCTTGGCGACCATCAACTCTCTTGGGATAGCGACCTTGCTGTATGTGAGGTTGAAGGTGGTATCGCCATTGAGATGGACTGAACAGACTCGGAAGTTGGTGCCCCCTAGATCGACGGCCATATATAATCCCTACAGAATTGTCAGTATTGAATATAACGTACGGAATGCAAAGTGAGCAAGAACCTTCTCAGTGCCGTTTGGCACACCGGTGACAAAGGTTGGAATTTGGCTTATGCTGGTACCATCTTTCTGCAGCCCCTCGTCTATAATCAACGTTAACATGCAACTCAAGCGTGACAGGTATGTTAGGCGGCTTCGTTGATCGTACTCATCTGGCGCAGAAACTCCTGTACCCCCTTGTTCACATCGTCGTCCGTGTAATCGAATTGCGCAACGATGCGCTTCGTCTCTTCTACCAGAGAATTCGTCATGGTGGGCGCTGGGGAGGTCGGCGGCGAAGTCGCAAACGGGTATGGACTTTCACAGATGGCACCTTCAACAATAGCGGCCGGAGGAGAGGAGAATGTCCGCTGGAAAGGATGTGACGTGAATATATGAATATATTGGACCTTGATATCCACGAGAAACAGCTGGGTAACCTGGTTTGGAGGGGCAATCAGCAAGGGCAGAATGCATTTGCGCCGAGTATCTATGTCATGCATACGGCCCAGCTGCGGTGCTGCGGGGAGCCAAGGCTAGATAGCCCTAGCGAGAATCTAGGAGAAAAACAAACGGCTCAGGCGGCCCTTGTGAATAAAGACTTACCAGGACAACAGCCAGAAAGACTACGGAAAATAAGTATATTAAGGCGGGTGTAGGCTGTTGGGCCACTGCATCCTTTGAAGATTGTCTCACTTGCTTCACCAAATGCTCGTCGATTAGCAAAGAGGGAGGCGAACGTAGGGGACTATAAACGTGATCATCATCAGCTCTGGCACCGAAGCGCCAGGCTCGCATGGATTGTGGCCAGGTATTGGGAGCCACGGCGATTTTCGCGGGGCTATTAGCGGGGTCTCGCCCTTTGCCTTACTGTTCTTCTGCAATTCGATCGGGGGAGGCGTCCAAGAGCCGCCAGCGCCCACGATGACCCCCAGTAGACGGACCGAGAATGACGGATGGTGCCAGGGGACAGATAATAGGACACAGGCACTGCAGGAACGAAAAGACCGCAAACTTGATAGTACAAGGCTCTAAACGGCCCGCAGAGGAGCTGGATGGAACTGTACTGCAGGCTACTCTGCTAGTGATCGGTATGAGGTCATAGGCGGTCCACCTTGGAGTGAATTGGCCTTGAGAGATCGGAATCAACTAGAACTGAGTTCTGACCTGAGGCCCTGTTGTACGACACGGATCGGGGGTGCTGGACAAGTCGGATAGGGGGCTGAAGACAGGGGTAGGGCTAGGCGAGAGAACAGAGCCCGGCTTTTGGGGAGTGTATCCAATTGGCAACTGATGAGGTGATGCTGAAGCTTCCAATGGTATGGAGGCCTGTCGCCTGATAATTGAGCCTTTGTCAGGAGATGGGCGAATCCGCAGATTCGGGTCACCAGTACTTTCAACAGGTACTTACTTGACTGCAGAGAACGTGACCCGCTTGGCTGACTAGTAGGATTGCTTCGGTACGCACTGGGTATTTAAGCAAAATGGAAGACGTGACAATTGAGGTAGGTGGTTCGATAGTAGAACGAATTATTTGGTATAAGAGTATAGGTTGGAGGATTGGAGGAGGTATGCGATGAGGGATAGAGGCGGTCACACAACTTGAACTGTTAGGAAGAAGTAGATACCGGTAGGTCATGAGACAGACACCTGGCAGTAGAAAGGACTAACGTACTTGTAGAAGCGGACGGAAGAAGTGGAGACTAGATACCTACCTAGATACTTAGTACGGAGGTTCGGATCAAAAATAGGCAATATGCTTCTATAGTGCAAATCGAAAAACTATACACGGTCTAGCGGCTCGGCAGGCAGTTTATCGGGCCGCCGACAGCCCGACTCAACATACGTTGGCACAGGCTAGTAGGCATCCACCCCTGTAGGCCCTAACTACCTAGGCAGGCTAAGCCCCTAGTTCCGCTGCAGCTAGCGTTGCTTATACCCCCACCTACTATAAACGTATAGCGTAGTTAGTACCTTGCTGTTTTACAGACCGTTAACGGCCCGAAATACTGCCTGCCGAGCCGCCAGACCGTATATAGCTTTTTGATTTGCACTATAAAAGCATATTGCTTATTTTTGATCCGAACCTCCGTAGGTACTACCTAAATCATTTAGATAGGTAGTAACACTTGGAGAGACGTCGGAAGAAGCCAGTTGCGAAGAAGCTATTATCACAAGAAGTCGGGAACTTACTACCTACAACGTTAGGTAAGTACCTTAGCGCCCCGGGGGGGTTGTAGGTAAAGGTTGCAGGCAGACTTACCGGCCTTGAAAGCCTTACTGCAATTGGCACTAGATTTCGTATGCTTTCGACGGCACGAGACGATTGCTACAAGGCTTTTATATATGAAATGCTTATATTTTAGAAGTATCCTTTTCAAGCAGATTGTCTAACCGCTGTACGACCATATCGAGTGTGAAATCATGTCCAGAATAAAAAGGTGAACAGCTGTAGAAAGGGTAGCTGGGCAGCTGTAGAAGGGGTAGCCGCTATCCTTTTGAATGCCCCTTCGGCGTCAATATCCTTGACTACACCGATGACCAGGGTCTGGGCCAATTAAATCACTTAATTTGTAGATACATCTATTTACACCTAATTTAGCCCGTGCTAAAGGTCACTACAATAACTATTAGTACAAAGTGCTGTATTACACTTATCGCACCCGTACACTTTATATTTAGGTTTATTAAATCTAGGATTATATGTTTTTACGAATGGAGTATAAAGCCTTTGCAAGCCTTGCAATCGCTATTTTTCTTCTTTTGACTAGTTGGTAGGCAGAAGGCTCCTTTTTAAAGCTATTCACACCTGTTAGTAGGGGTAGTGTGAAGACCCATCGGGTCTTGCAAGGGGGTGACGCCGAAGGGGCATTTAAAAGGATAGAAGGGGTGGCCGCTATAGAAGGGGTGGTAGCCGTAGCCAGCTGTACAAGGGCTACCCCTGTAGACTAGAGCCAGGTATATACCCCTAAAAAAAGGGACCCCACATAACTCTGTCAAATGGCATAGCGGATTGGCCACCCGCTTTGCTGTACGCCAGCATTCGTACACTTACACCTAGAGGTATAGTGTTCGAGTCCTGGCTGCAGCGAAGCGGGTGGCCCCCCCTTTTGTTTTTTCCACTATATTTCTGTTATATTTAACGGACATAATTGCAGCAAGGCTTTCTAGCCGGATAGATTTTTATTTTGTATATAATTTGTATGTGGACATGGAATTAATCGCTCGATATGGAATCGATCGCTCGACATGGTTTCGAACGTCGACATGGTGGATACCCCGTAAGAATTTAGTAAGGCAGTTTAGTAGACATGCTTTCCAATTTTCGACATGGTTGTAGTAACCCTTACCTACACCCCCCCCCGGGGCGCTAAGGTAGGTAGGTAGTCATCAAGCATTTAAACGAGGCGACCTCGACAATAAGCAGAAAGTATTAGTCTACCTAGTACTAGTAGTTGTTCTTCCATTGCGCAAATAGGTATATACCCTGCTTCATGCTTACCATCTGTAAGTAGATTATTTTGTTGTGATTATTTCCAAAAAGGTAACATAATAGTTACTTACAATCTAAACAAGTCGATACCTGTTTCGTTTTGTGCTACGAACCACAATGTTCCCTTCCTTACCTTAATGCAAAGACCGCGAGTTTGACCGTTCATCAACCTTATTCTCCCATTGCAAGTACTATAGTTTTGGAGTTACACTTCTCTTCATATTCCCCGAGTTACAATTTCTAGCACACCCCAAGCCCATACACTGTTCGTGGCAGCTGCAGTCCAACAATCGCGGTACGGCCAAGCAAGGGTGATCTATCAATGAACGGGTAAGCTTTACCTACTTACACGAAAAAGAGCTGAGCACTTCACATACCAGATCAAGATATATCATTTCTTCGGAATATGTCTCTGGATTTGGCAGGCAGTGGAATTGAGAGGCTTGTCACAACACTGCCATATAAATCCTTCCGGCCACTCTTCACGCCGCCAATCCGTATTAACATCAATGCTTCCGATATCATACTGAACATCATCATCGTCTGGGAAAACATCTGGGTCGATGGCGAGTTCACCTAGAAACATGACGGCGTAAGTCTCAAGCCGCACAGGTATAGGAGGCTGGGGTTTGGCAGCTCACCCGTGTGCTTCTGACACGCTGCATTGTTGTTGAGAGTAACGTCGTATGTCTCATCGCAGGTCTGACATTTTTCGAATCTCGATACTTGCGTAACTTCGACTTTCTTCTGCCTCTTGTTCTGCTTGGTGTTGTTGTCGGATGAGTCGGATAGTTCTATAATGTCACGCTTTCGCGACACGAGCATCCGCTCCCTTGCTTCCTTACGGCATGCTTCTGAGGCTTGGCACATAGACCTCAGAACCTTGCGTAGAGTGCGTTCGTCTGCACTGTCAATGGCGCGTGCAAGAAGCACATCTTGGTTGGCTTCTCTTGCCATAATAATTCTGATTATGAATGATGCTACGGATACCCTGCAAATTTAGACGCGTCGGGAAATGTAGACCAAGACTATATAGTGATCCCTGTCCTCATAATCGGGAACACCAAGACTCAAGTAACTTAGCATGCTATCATGCTATCAGAGCATTCTTCAATGTCCCTAGGAAGATCTTTTTGAGAAACTAACATCCTATTGTATTGAGCCAATAGTTGCCTTCACCATAATTGAAACACAGTCATCGATTAGTGAAAGTCTATAAAGAGAAATGACAACAAAGTAAATCGACAGACAGAATCAAATCAAAGCATAATGAAAAGTATCGAAAAAGAAAAGAAAAAAATTGGGTTGCTGCTCCCAGTTAATGAGAGGCATCAGGAATTGAGCCCGATGCGGGGGTCGAACCTAACACTAGGGTTAGCCACAAATTTACCGACGATAATTTTTTCCCGAATAAATGCTTACCCGCAACCTTGAGATTAAGAGTCTCACGCTCTACCGATTGAGCTAACCGGGCGTTGTTGTTGTGGATCTGTGGTTGAAAATCCTGTTCATCAATAGGATAGCTACCGATTGGGCTCACTGGCGGCTCGTAATGTGTCGTGATGTTGTGGCACAATGACAATTGTCCTATCAGTGCGACCTGGGCTGGATACTTCTATTTTCCCCGTCTTCCGGCTCGCCTTATTCGAGACGGATGTATACATGGATATCCTTGATATGTATGTCTGATATTTACAAACTACACCTTGTGATTAGATGTACCGCTAAACAACCCTCATACAATTGAACGTGCCTATTGAATACACAGCACATTCTGGTCAGACCATTATAGAACAATACGTGGGCAATCTACCTTGTCTTGCTAACTTGAGCTTTCGAGGTGTCGCTCACCTACCTACATCCTTCCATACATGCTTCGATTTTTTTGTATCTCCCATCCCCAGTCTATGGCAAGCTCTAGGCCGAATATTGAGCTTGCCGTTGAGTCACATATGAGGTTTACTCGATTCTCGGGCAGATATATGGTATACGCTTGACATCTTGCTTACGAAAATACAAAGGGAACGATTACCTGCTGCCCAAGTATAGGATGAGCTGAAACCAAGGCGTTTCAACGTATGTTTACATAACGACACATATTGAAAACACACATCATATAACCGGGATTGGATTAAGTGCTCGTAAAAAAGTCGGGCATTTGGTACTCGTGATACCTATAAGATTGATGCCACTTGTTGGTGATATGGAATGGGGTAGTCGCCTCGAGCTGTTTGGAATAATGAACTTTAACACATGAACTATATATTAGCTGGGTAAGATAGTCATCTCCTGATGATGTCTGTGTCCAGCCAGAAATTGCCCAACTGCCGAATTGCTTGCTGTTCTCAATGAGGCCAACGTCGACGTCCTCTCAACTTTTCAGGCCCAACTGCCAGATTCGAGGGTAGTAACAAAGCTATAGGAAGAGTTCAAATAATTTAACTCCAATCCATCAACCTCAGCCAACATAAAATTTACGAAACCTCCTTGATAACTTCAATTTCTAGCATATGTAACCATAGTCTCTAGCGTTCAGCACAATTAGTGGCGTGCTTCAGTTTACCTCTAGTCCGGTATCAGAAGAATCTAATCTGAGAATACCGCTGTCCAGACTTAACATAACCAAAGCTAAGTGTCACTCCCGATATTCACAAAAAACCCCGTATTGTAGGCGCTACTAATGGGATTCTTTTACCCACGCCTGGGCTGCCGGCACGACCAGATGCATGCACGTGAGTTGCTAGGCAGCGAAGAAGCTCTAGTCCTTTCATGTTCCCGTTCTACTATTTTATATTAACTAGAAGGATCTCCTTCGGCCTAGGTTTTATATAGCAGCTTTGATTTCTGGGTGTGAGGGATATAACTAGTTCATCTATCACACCCCGAGTGACATGGTTCAAAATGTATGACCTTACTATGGCATCTCTCACTTTCAACTAAGGCGATTCTTTACGTTCCTCACATTTTGGTTCGAACACAGAAACTCGCTTTCGATAATGCTAAAGCCCATTGTGGCACTGGCCAGGCATAGCGCTTTGCAAATTTTTTCCCCCGTCAATGGTATTCTTAGTAACGAGGAGAAAAGAGCGAGGCCGTTTATGGGAACTAGACAGACTGGGTAGTAACACATGAGACGGTCTTTAGCTAGGGAGAGGTGGTGCCTTCTCACAAGGTGACTAAACCTCAAATGTATGCGTCTGCAATGAAATAATAAATAATAGGCATTTGGGTACTCTGTAGGCGCTTGAAGGGCTCGAAAAGGAAGGGCTCGAAAAGGAGAGACTAGGAAATAAGCCGGGGCATTTCAAAGGAACGGCACTTGTGGATAAAAACGAAGAGCAAACATCGGAGCAGCCCGTAACCGCAAAGTGAATAAAAATGGACAAACCGGAGTATTTATCAGTCGGCGGAGGGGATCGTGAGCAGTGGCATCGCCACCATACCCCTTTTCTTTAGTGTTAGGATTGAAGGCGTTACTCTAAAGCAGACAGCACCAAATTATTATCGATATAGGCCGAGCTCAACACGAGTATATATGAACTAAGTACAGAATCGTGGAACTAGACAAGACAATACTATATGGAAAGGAGATATGATTCTTGAACAGGTATACGCAGTTCATAGATGTCCGGCGTCGACGTTGCTGTGAAGCTTTTGCGATATTCAATCGCAATTATTACCATACTGCCTCATATAGGAGCAAATTCAGTCGGCAGCATTACATGGGAGACACGGTCAATGAACGTGTTCCTAGCAATGGACCAACTAGAATAATAACCGTATCTGTTAGGCATGTGCCACACGGTCACGCCTTCAAGCCGCTCACCAATGTATCGATGCAAATTTTAAGCTTAACTTAATTATGCATATTTGACAAGGTTCTATCTATTGTAAATAGCTAAGACGATAGAAAGTTCAATTCATTTAAATCGCTTTCCAAGACTAACCTCTAATCATTCCAATTGAATCGTCTAGCCTAGTTAAATATGCGAGGGTTGTGATGATTTCTCACACTCTCTTGAAGTTGCTACGTCGTATTCTATAAGACAACCACTTGTTCGTAGTATCTGATGTTGTAACCTATAATATATCGTATTACTATTAACCCGCACAAAGCCCCTATCAGGTAGCAAGATCTGCACGTACGACACAAAACAAAACTGTTTCCATACAAGGAGAATCAAGGGATGGTAACCCTCAGCCCTCGAAAGAAGTGGCTACCACACGAATTCAGCAGTACAAGTGATTGAGGAATGTACCAGATGCGAGACATTGGGAGGCTTACCAGTTGCTACATTGCTGCATTGATCGCGACACCTAGGAGAATATTGGCTACTAAGCCGTGTAGAAAGGATGAAAGAATTAAGAGACAGAGCTGCCGACGAGAAATGATATGAGGATATGGAATGTAAGAGCCTCACATATTAGGTAGATCAATATTGGGCATCTTTGGAGCCACGTTTTCTATGTATGTCTTGCATGTATTGGGAAGCACATAAGTTGAGGAAGGCAGAAGAGTCGGAATAGATGCGCACTGTCGACTGGTGTCTTGATAAAAACGTTGCATTTGGATTGAAGGTATGCATATTGTTCTGTTGTGAATCTCTGAATATTGTATTTATCATCATGTCCCTAATCACTTCTGGCAAGCATAGAATCTCACCTGAAATCCAGGTAGTAGTTGGAGGGGTTTAATGCATGTCGTTGGCCCTGCAAGGTGCAGATCGGATACGACGTCAACACGGGGACGCCGACTGGATAATTTCCCCAGCTACTTCCGTCTCGCTTCTCTGGGACACCCCGTAAGCAGGTCACGTCTGTAGTGCGTTCGAAGCACAAAGTATGAAACTCGGTTGGTCTTGGCTATGAAACGTCCTCTCTCTTTGACTGGGAAGCGAGGGCGACACAAAAGACATACGAGCTGCAGGTTTCGACCTTGCGACACCTACATACTTGTTCGCATTCAGACTCCATTCTTGTTTGAAGACATTATTGTCGAAAGACCGACCCCTATCGAATCTCTAGCTCGAACCCCGGATTCTTACAGCTCCGTGCGGCTGTCGAGCTTCCGTCAGCTCCTCGATGGTCAACAGCCCCCAAACCGACCTGGTCTGGACACTATCGAACGCCGAGAGACAACCTGACTAGCTGGGGGCTGTCAAGTCTGGCACGAATCAGCAAATCGAGGACGGTCTTACTTTGTAGGGCGCTGGGTGACATTCTGTTTTGTTAGATAGGTCTCTTAAAGACTTGGTACCGGAATTCGACTCCATACCCGCCTATTCAGTGTTTTAGCTCAGTTAGAATAAGCTTATAGTGGTGCTGTATTCCCTCCCTCGCCCTATATTTACCTCTTCGGCGTCGATATACCTAGCTAATTAGCTAAGTATCTTTACCGAGAACAGGCCGGCAGTGCACTTAGTGTAAAAAGGTCCCCTGAGCCGTGGATAGAATCACCTTTGTTAGTGCCTGGGCTTTTTTATTCCCAGGGGGCTGAGCTTAGCTGAGCCTCATATTCCACATGTGCAGCACCCACTTATTACCTTCTGTAGGGCGCTGTTAAAAGCTGAACAATTTTGGTGCCCTAAGCGGGGTATTTTCAATACACTCAGTACCTACCTACTTACCCAAGGAGCTATTGATTGATCTCAGTCTTATTTCGGGCCCAGCGAGACAGCATTAGGTAGTCTCCAATCGCGTCTAGATCCACTTGATTCATCTTTATTTTGGTAGTACATGTTCACGAGAAAAAGAAAAAAAGAACAAGTTTGCTTACGCAGGCGAGTTAGTATTGAGTAGGTGGGTTGTCTGTGGCCATGCGCTAGCTAAATGGCGGGGTTATCATTTATGGGACTACGTCAAAATTGAGAGCGGTGAACGCCTAAGTAGGTATGGTTAGTGGTGTAGTCCCTCATGCTTCAGTAGGTAGGCGAATTAGTGGTTTGTACATGGTTTGTACATGAATTCGCCTACTGCTTTTCCTGTGAGGATCATTACACCGCGATTTTTGAAATGCTGTGGCTCCAGTTGTTTGCGGTGACATAGCCGAGGTGGGCGTGTAGCATATCTGTTAGGAGTAATGAGCGAGTGGCTACCTTAGGTATGTAGTAGATTTTCTAGAGCGTTCTTACCTCATCTTCCGGTTGAAATAAGTATTTATTTAAGAGCATCTAGTATGATACAGTTGAGAAAAGTTTATGAAACGTCGCAATCCGGGTTTATATGAACGGCTGTGTTGGTTTCGTGCTTCTTGGTAGTCCGTCTGCTTGCTACCTAGTATTGATATGCAGAATTGGGAGGTATCATGTTATAGTTATACAATTGCTTTGATAGGTCAGTTAACTATGCATTTTCTTAATGATGCCGATGAACTAACACAGCGTAAGACGAGGTGTAGCAAATCAGCGCCGGTTCAGACTTGTACCTTACCCCATGCTCTGATTTCGATGCTTGAAATGATCTATATACGGAATC